TGAGTGTGAATTATTAATGTCTGCTACATCACACCATGGCAGTGAGGAAGCAGAACCTGAACTCCAAACACAGACGAAGTTGGACTGACTGACAGACTGAAATGATTTCATCAGGTAAACATAAAGAGTTAAGGTTTTAAAGCGTCATTGTTAGTTGAGTATAAAAAATAGATTTTCCACACAAATTCACGTCTTTCAGAATTAAGTCTTTCTATCATTTCAGCACATGACAGACTTTGTTGATTAATCTTCTTGGAAGGGTTTTATAATCCTCTCCGTCGTTTCAGATGACAGCTCTCTCAATGTTTTCAGGTACAACAGGCTCATTAAGGACTGTGACAAATATCTAACTGCAAATTCATTTGAGTAACTGAGACAATCAAGGCTTTATTTTCATGATTAGTGTCAGACTAAAGATTAAGGCTGCTGTCTGTGGTTTTGTCAGTTGCTGAGTCTAATCTTTAAAACTCACATTATAAAACAAATCTGGGAATTCTCTAACAATCTAGTTTTTTCTTCCACTCTATAATGATGTTAAGCATGAAGGAAAGACTGGTTCACCTTCTTGTCTTTCCTGGTGTTTGTGGTTTAACAGTAACTAAATGTTAAATGATGCCAATTACACAAGGGATCATTCACAATTAATTGTAACTGATGTAAAAGAGAAGAGAATAACAATAATGTATACTGTAGTAATAGTAATAATAGAGAGATACAACCCTAAATATGTGCAGAGCCACAAATTATGTGTCGATTCCTGTTTTCTTAATATCAAATTCCAACCTTCCTCCTTCAATAAAAGTAACTCAAAAGACACGATTTGTTTATTTATCCTTATTATTGGTTTAATTTTTCCTGTCTCTTTTTATTTTAAGAAACTTTTCGAGCATGAACATTTTTAACGTTAACGTTTCTTTTTCATATCAATCAAATTCTACTTGTGTAGCACATTTCATCAACAGGACATTTCAAAGTGCTTTACATCATAAAAATACAAAGTCATGCAACATAGAATCAACAATTGAAACATTACATTTTGTTAGCATCATTAAATTTGTAATCCATTAGGTTTCAAAATCAACTCCAAACATATGAGTTTTTAGCTTAGATTTAAAGAAGCTCGGTGTTTTGGTTGTTTTGTAGTTTTCTGGAACAACTAAATCCTGAATCCTGCTTCTCCATGTTTGGTTCCAGTAACATGATGATGCTCATTGAGTGTAAGAAGAGGCATGCTTATCAGTCAGTCTCCCAAAATCTCCACTAACACTTTTTTTATTAAAAACAGTCGGTAGTGGGATCTGAATACTCACAAAATGTAGCAGCAAAGTTTGATCAGTTTGCATACTGTGATCTTCTCCGTGAAATTTCAGAAAAAGAACTGAATTGATGAAGCAGTGGAATAACGTCTTTAAGTTTCACCAGAGCACAATTCACTGAGTGGCAGGGCAGATAATCACTGAATCCAAACAAATCAGAGAAACAGCTGTGCTAATGTTAGCTTAGCCTATTTACATACAGCTTTGTACAAAAAACCTCGTCAGAATGAGCCAGATCAAAAGATGGTGGCAGTGAACAGTTAACTACATCAAGGGGGGCGGGTTGGAGTCTCCCCCCCTTTTATTTAATTTAATTTTTTTTTTTTTTTTTGATGAGGTACCCATAAGGGCAGAACTTTGATTCGCCATGAAATTTAATGTTTTTGATTGTTGATTCAAGGTTGCATGACTGTGTTTTTGGCAATGTAAGGTAAGGTAAGGTAATTTTATTTATATACCACATTTTCAGCAACAAGGGAATTCAAAGTGCTTTACATGAATTAAAAGGAAATACAAACAAAATACCAAACCAAAGGAAAAAGAGGAAAGGACACATTAGGGCAAATAGCAACATTCAGACAAAACAAAGGGCAAAACAAAGACGTTAGTGAAGGCAGTGACATCATGTTTAATGATGTAAAGGACTTTGAAATGCCTTGCTGCTGAAATGTGCTGTACAAATATAATTTAATTGATTAATTGAATAAAAATATGGATCCCTGCTCCTGAGCATGTGGAGGCAGTGGAAACTCACAGTTTCCTTTAAACAGGAAGAACTCTCCAAGCAGAACCCAACATGTCTGAGTTCCCATCTGCTGCAACCGACTGGGGCTTTTAACAGCTTTATCATTTGGGAAAAAATGATAAAGCTTTATGCATTTCAGCATGTTCATTGTTGGAGCGGCATGTTTTGGAATGTCCTGCAAAATCTTGATTGGGACAAAACATTTGTCTCTGCCACAGGGCACAGAGATCAGGTTATGGGGATGTCAGAGAGGGAAACCAAAACTTGCCTTTCAATAATACAATGGAAAGTGGGACCTCTATATTAATACCTTGATGAAGCATCAATACATCCTATCATCACTCATGAGAAAGACAACTAAACTCCACTTACAGTTACAGTATGCAATTTTTATTTAAAAAATTGAAAAATATTATTTTTACATATTTGTTAAAACTGCCTCCAGTTTATTATGAAACAGATAATCTGTGAAAAGATCAATCTCCTCCACCTCCTTCCTGAGCTGCTTTAGCCGTCTGAAGGAAAGCACAGCTCCCGACCAAAACCAGCCAATCAGAGGCAGGAGGAGGGGCTTCATGCTGTTAATCAACCTCATGTACTTGCTGTTTATTGTGCTAATGGTGGAGATATAACTCAGCTACATGAAAGCAGTTTATTCTCTGTCATCAGTAGATGAGCAGGTGCACGTGAGGGTGATTGACAGCAATAAGACCCTCCTGCTGGTTCTGATTGGTTGTTTCTAGTTGGCACTGGGTGAAGGTAGAACAGCCTGATTTTTAATGTTTTTGTTTTTCACAGATTATGTGTCTCATACCATCCAGTCACGACATAGTTTCAACAAATATATAAACATATATTCTTCATTAAAGCTACATACTGCAGCTTTGAGCCGGACACCAGGCCCTCTACCTGAAAGCAGCAGTCCACCTTAATCTGGTTGCAGTTATTTGTTTAAAAAAAAAGTTAATTGTCAAATTGTTTGCTTGTAATTGATTAAAAACAATTACACAAGGAAAACACAGGATTTCATTGTGTTTTACAAAGTCAAAATGTAGAATAGTTTTGATTTATATTTCTGTTTTTCCTATCAAAGCAAAAAAAAACAAAAAACAAAAAAAAAACTCACTGAATTTCAATCAGTAGTAGTTATTCCATATTTATGTTTCTCAAAGATTACATTTGTTGTACACATACTACTTTTCAGTCCAGTGACTCCGGTGGGAAAGACTGGCAGACTAGCATCCAAGAAGGAAAACTTTCCTTTTCGCTGCATTTTAATTTTTTTTTTTCTGGTATAAAATTGTAACTTTTGAATTCCACATCTATTACTGTCTCTTCCTTCTTTCTTTCAGTCTGACATGAGTAAAAAATATATGACCTAATGGGCTGCTGTGGTAAGAAAAAAAAAGAAAAAAAAGAAAAAGTGAACCACCTCAGAGAGTCTCTGGCATCATCTCAGTCTCAGAGCGAGTTTCCTCTCACTCCCAGCCACCAACTGCTGGAATCAAGAGGAGACGGAGCGGCATAATATTAGAGATGAGGGGGCGCAGAGAGACTCTCACGTGTGATCTCTGTATCTCATTGCTGATGGAGAAAAAAAAAGTGTGTGGGAGGGGGCATATGTAAATGAATTGAGGCGGAGCAGACAGGCAGACGAACAGACAGACTGAATTGATTTGATGTGAAGCATTCCTGGAGACGGGAACAAACATATGTGTGTTAAAGTCTGTTTGAATTCACCTTAAAAAAAAAATGTCTCGAATGATTCCTGTATGTGTTATATCTTCAACACACAGAGCAAAGGGCTTTGGTCTTTCTGTGCGAACATCAGTGACATCCGGCTCTCTGCTCTCAGAACAGAGGAAGCTCTAATTAAGGACTGAAACTTCTTCACTCATGGACTTTTTCCCTTAGTTTCTCTCAATAATGTAGAGGAGCATCTGGGACGAGGGGTACGAAATTCATTTGAGCTAAAGAAACAAGTAGGACATAAATAATGACTTGGTGAAGTGGGAGGATGGTTAGTGCCGAGCCATGTGAGACTCATTAAAGATGAATAGATCATCTGGACAACAAACAATAAATCACGCATGCTTATTTTATTTGGGTTTTTATTTTTTATTTCTTTTTGTTTTTGCTGGACTCTCTTCATTTTTCAGCTTCATAATTTTGCCCCATAATCTAAAGTGCTCACTGTGCCAAGGGGTATAATACAGAAAAAAAACAAAAACAAAATCAAGGTTAATAAGTTAATTTGATTTCATTAAAATACTGGTAAACATTGCAGTAAAACCATTCTGACTAAATGAAAACGATTCATCCATCTGAATGTTGGCACTCTGTAAATAAGATTAGTGAGAAAAATAATGCCTAGAAGTTTCAGAATCAATCAATCAATCAATCAAATTTTATTTGTATAGGAGATTTCAGCAACAAGGCATTTCAAAGTGCTTTACATAATTAAAATAAAAACAGCATGTAATAAACAGTGAGAACGAGAAAGAGATTTAAAAAACATAATTAAAATGTAAACAGTTAGAAAAAGAAATAAAAAGCTGTAGAACTTTAGCTGAGACACCATCAACTGGGACTCCAACCCTTTGGACTTTAGTCAAAACGCCGTTTGACAAGGACTCTAACCTTTCGGATTTTAGTCAAAACGCTGTTTTCAGAATCAACCTCATATGTATGGGTGTTAGGCTGGGACCAGTTGGGACTGATGTCTGTTTGGAAGGAACCAAACCTTCAGGATCATTTCACTGTGAAGATTCAATCAAAATATCCATTTTTGAATATCTACAATTTTTAAAAGAACAAGCCATTTTGTCTATAATGTAGTTGTTATGAATATATATAAAATAAAATACAAGATCATTACATTTTGTAAATGAGTATTTACAAAATACAATGCAAAATACAAACACAGTATGTTCTAACACGGGTGGGCAATCCTGGCCCTGGAGGGCCGGTGTCCTGCAACTCTTATATGTCTCCCTGGTCCAACACACTTGAATCCAACAGCTGAATCACCTCCTAAGTGCAGTCAGGTTCTCCTGACTCCTGCTAATGACCTCATTATTTGACTCAGGTGTGTTGAAGTAAAGATGCATCTAAAAGTTGCAGGAGACCGGCCCTCCAGGCCTGGAGTTGCCCACCCCTGTTCTAACAGGAAAAATGATCATGTATTTTCTTAAAATACACAAATGTCAAAAACCATGTTGTTCTTTAAGAGTTGCGTGCACTAATAACATTTTAGGGCTATTTGTGATATAGATACAAAAGAAAATGTAATAAATAAAGGAAAAACAAGAACTTGAGTGGCTTTGGAAGAAACACATATTCTCTTCCCCACCACTAAATATGACAATTACACACCCCTTTCCTGTACTGTATTTATTTGTACAATACAATGTTTAATCAAATACAAACACTGCTGCTGACATGTGAAGAGCATTACAATTAAGTTAAATCATAAAAAACAAAGAACAGCTCTCACTAACTGAGACTCGAGTCCTGCTGTTCAGAGTAAAGAGATGTTGATGAACGGCTCTTTACATTCATCGGATCAATGAACATCGACCTGTGGTTTTGATTATGGATGCAATAAAAAAAAGGTAATTTCAGGAGTTTTACTGTAAATTCTTAGTTATGGATAAAACACTTTAGCAGACTCTGGTTGAGAAGTGCATTGACAACTTTGGTCGAAGTGGAACTTTTAATTCCAGTCTCCAGTGTGGCAGCAGAGAGCAGAGAAGCAGTTAAATCTACAACCTGAGCCCAACTGAAATTTAGGCCTTTTCAGGTCAAAAATATTTGCTTTATGTTCGGCTTCTGAGGCACCTTAAGACGCCTACAACACACACAGAACAAAGAAAAATAACAGAGAATGCTAAGTTGTGATAATCTACTTAAAGCTTAAATAGAGGAGCAGAAAGAAAGAAAGGTGCAGAAGTTAATTAGACTGTAACCACCGCAGCACACTGCACAACTAAATGCGTGTGATGGAGATGTTAATAAGCCACGTGTTTACTTCAAACTGGCAAATTATTGCCCTAAACAAATAACGAAAGCGTGTGAATACCCTATAAAGACCGGAATGTTAATCAACCTGAAATATTTACTCTGCAAACAAACTGAACTCACATTTATGTGTTCATGATGGATGGTTAGGATTAAACAATTCATACTGAATGAAGCCTTATATGGCTTTACTATGTGGCCTGTCTGGTTTCATCACACCGGTGCAAACAACACTATCAGTTGATAAGTGTTAGTAAAGTAACATATGTGCCATTTTCTAAAAATGCTAAAGTGAAAAGTCTGCATAGTGTTTTGTCTTTTTTTTATTTTGTTAAAAGATGGAAAAGATTAGAAAGAAATTTTGCTCTGGAATATGACTTCAAGAAACATGTTTATATTTTCAATCACTATTTAGCCATAATGCAACAAATCTATGTTTTGATCTTTACCAGCAAAATGTGTTACAGTCTGAAGCTCAAACAGAGACTGAGGGAGAGTCACAGAAACATTAATAATGATTTCTTTAAGCTGTTCACAGAAAGAACTGCAGGGTGACTTTATGCAAAATAAGTAAAAGAGACCACATCAGGATGGATGAAGTCTAACGCGCTAAGATTTACAGAGTGGGATTATTTGCTGTGTCAGAACTCAGGGTGCAGGTTCTGTTGACCAAGTTAGATGAATATTCAGGGACGTCAAACTCATTTTTCTTTTGGGTCAAATCAAGATCATGAATGTTGACAAAGTCAAATTTGATATGTACAGCATTTTTATAACAAAAATAGTTACTTGATTTTGCTTTGAACTGATACAATGTGCCTAGAAAATACATAATACTGCCTTTTTCATGTCTACTGTAATGTGTATAATACCAAGCAGCAGCAGCTGAGATATTTCTACACACAGGGAGCCGTGGATGCTGTTCTGAGAACCAGTGGTGGCTCTCAGCACAGCCCAGCTCCCCTGCATAATGTATCTAATTAAAGCTTTGAACATATGCATTATGTACCATTCTGGGACCCAATGGAAATTAGGTAGTGAAAGTTGCCTCACTGGAGCAAAGGCCTTACCTTAGCTGGATATGTTTCGGTTTTTTTCCCCTCTCCCTCCCATTGATCGAACGTTGGCCTTCACAAAGGAGAGAGACTATTCCAGCAACGAGAAATAAGGCAACGCCACAACGAAAACATTAAAAGCTCAGATAACGGCAGCTTAATTAAATTCATAACGCCTCGGTTTGAAAGCATTTGAAGCGCTAAGGAATAAAAAGAAACACCCAATTTTCAGAAATGAGTTGCTGTGAATAAAAAAAGTAAGTGACAAACTATCTGAAAATGACTCAGTTGTTCACCAAGGTGTGCGCCTGAATTAGACGATACATGAATATGAATGTTTTCAAATAATATGTTTCTTTTAGTGGAGACATTTCATACATTACATTGTTATTGGAATGTATTTAAACTGCTATACAAAGAGACACAGATAAAAATGTCCATTACTACCTTATCAGCACAGCACAGCCCACTTCTTTGAATATGGATACAATACGCACTGAATTAGAGGTTTACTGTATAATAACTGACTGGTTTGTTTGTAATGTCTACTTTTAGTAAAAAAAAAAAGAAAAAAAGAACGGGAGATACTTAATCTCTTATTATTTGACAAAATCTGGCATCTCCTTAGTGCTGAATCCAAACCACTCTGACTGTTAGACCGAGAAGCTTCCCAAATTTTTTTTTTTTTTTTTTTTTCTTTGCTCCTCGGTAAGCATCGCTGCTTCCTGTCTGTTGTTCCTCCCGCTTTGGCGTTGGTGACTGTCCACATTCACCCTCCAGGTGTTTGGGTCACCTGTTGTGAGGCTCAGAAGTAAATTTACACAAATTATTACTTGTCAATATGATATTTTTCTTCCCTTTCTTTTGGAACAATTGAGACACAAACTTTAATAATGTGGTATATTTTTTCCAGAAAAGCTATTAGCTCTTAGAAAATGGTTTCAACTTGTCAGCATGTAAATAACTTAGATGTCATAAAACATTTTCATGTATTCAGATTTCCTTGCGTTCGTATCGGCGCGTCTGTCTTCATGGCGGAACATGGTTGTTTACGATAACGTAGGAAATTTCTGGTAAGCTTTTTAGCTCATGGCATACGTCGTAGGTAAACGTTAGCATTTGGGTAAAATTTAAAACCTCACTAATAACAGTCCACACTCCAAGGAAGCAATCATTTGTCATAACAGAGAGTCCAGACCCTTTGGACGAAGCAGAGTGGTTTTAGGTTGCCACGGGAGATTAACCCTTGTGTGTGCGAGGGCTAAGCCAAATGATACAAGTGATACGGGTGTGGGGTCGGTTGGACCTAATTTGTAAACACAAGGGTTAAAAGATTTCTGAATACCGCCCCTTTAAAACGTCAGCACAAATCTTCTTATATGAGACTGACTGCTTTTATGTTTATGAAAGTTGGGCGTACAGTGACCAAAACTACACACATATGAAAGGTAAAGGGCAAAAAGACCCTTCCCTTTGTGTTTGTAATAATTCCTTGAGAGGTGTTGTCAAACTGATGGTTATCAGTGAGGAGTGGAAGGTTTCCTTTAATGTGTTTTCTCCCGGCCCTTATCAGCCCCCTGCTTGGAGCCCAAAAGCTGACCTTCAGGCATGAAATCACCCACTCTAATCAAGGAGAGAAATGATAAGGACGGTCTGTAGTGACAGAAACTCCTCTTTGGCGAGTCTTTTTCGCGAACCCCTCCCCTCGCCGCCCGCAGGCCGTCCAGCCCCGGTTAGAGGGACTCCCCCGGAAAAAGGAAATTTATTGCATCAGTGCTCATCCTAGCAGTGTTCTTCGTGTGAACTGGGGGACACATGTGGGAGAATCAGTCATAATACAAATTGAGCCACGACCTTGGGGCTGAACACACAGGAGACAGTCCAGACTCAGAAGGCTGCAGGAGATAAGGAAGAACAAAATGTTTCCACTTAACAGAATAAGGTGGGGGCAGGAAGTGGGGGGGCTGAGATGGTCTGGAGCTGCTTCATCCTCACTGCCTGTATAGAATCCTTTCAGCCACAAAAAATCCTTTTTATGAAAAAAGATTCAAACGACGGCCATGCTGTGGTAGGATGCATCTGATTGCCACACCTGGCTTTTTACGGTGTTCTGTTCAAGTGAGATGCACTCACTGCAGCCTGGAGAGCGGCGGCTTATTTGTCCTCGCCGGCTGGCTCACCAACACCTGCTTTTTGGCAGGAGTCTGTGCAGAGAGTAGTGCTCAGGTGAGCGCGTGTTAATTAACCCAGAGGCGACTCTATGAAGAGGTTTTCAGCTGAGGATTTTTAACTAAATCCTCCCCACCTCAACCCAGCAGCAGAATTTGTGTAATAATTTAAGATCACAAGAGCTGATTAGGTATTCTGTGAAAGGACACAGTTGAACTAACCTGAAAGCAGGTGTATTATCGGTGAAGCCATGATTGAGAGGAAATCAACCTGAAAAGGTTGTGCTGAGCTGCTGGAAAAAAACGGCATTTTTATCAAGACACAAACATTTCTATGTGAATTTGAAAGCAGCTGCTGCATTTCCATTAGAAATGTGCTCAAGTTTGCATTCTTATTTCTATTCAATAAGAAACTGAATAAAAATCACATGAATAAGTTTGTTACTGCAATAAAATATGTGGCGCCATGATCCTCCAACTTCTTCCTGCCGTCGTCTTCTTCATGGTTTGTGTTTAACATTTGACTTGTGTTTTACAAAAAAAAGTGTTTCCACTGCAGTTTTGTGGAATAAACCAATTTAAAAAAAAAAGTGACTGTGACTTTTTATTTCTAGTATCTCACTTTATAATGAAGAGAATTGATTCTTTAGCAGTTTGTGTGACACTTTGCCACTTCCTTTGTCTAGCCATGAATACGCCTCAGACGCCCAAATGTATTTCAAAATCATTTTCAGGTTTCTGTTTTTTTTTTTTTTTTCCGGTTGCACAGTTATATCTTTCAAAATCATTGATCCTTAT